GAGACCAATAAGATTGGATACCAAATATCACTCTTTGAACTAGTTGTACCCTTCCAGCATAAGATAATTTTCGAGCTGTCCAAGAGGAGATCCTTGCAACTATTTTGTCAATCAATGGTTACCATTGCAAAGCTGTTAACTTCTTTGTATCCAATGGGATGCCCAGATATTTGAAAGGCAATTCCCCAAGTGAATCCAGTATTCTGTAGAATTTCTAGCCTAACATCCTGAGCAACTCCACCAAAATAGATTGCACTCTTATTGGGATTGTCTAACAGTCCAGATGCAGCAGAAAATTGCATAAAGCAAGCATGAAGAGTGGAAACTGATTTACTATCTCCCCTAGCAAACATCAGTAGGTCATCTGCAAAGCTGAGATGAGTTATATGTAGCTTACCACACCTTGGATGAAACCTGTATTCCTTGGCTTGCTTCAACCTTTTGAGTAGCCTGCTTAGGTATTCCATTGAATTGCAAATAGAAATGGTGATATGGGATCACCCTGTCTGAGTCCTTTGGCAGCTTTAAAGGTTTTGTCAACTCCCCATTTATCATGATTGAATAGCTCATTGTTGATACACAAGTTCATTCTCACCCAGTTAATGAATTTTGTAGGAAAGCATAAATACTTTAACAGTTGTTCCAAATACACTCATTCAATAGAATCATATGCTTTCATCATGTCAACCTTCACCACGCATCTAGGAGAGAGATGTTTCCTGCTGTAAGCTTTAACTAACTCATGAGCAAGTATGATATTGTCTGCTATTTTTCTCCCTGGGATAAATCCTGCTTGGGCTTCAGATATGATGCATGGCATGATCTTCTGTAGTCTACCAGCAATGACTTTAGAGATAAGCTTGTATAACACAGTAAAACAAGCAATAGGTCTACAGTCCTTAATTGTCACTGGATAGGGAATTTTAGGTAGCAAAGTGATGGTGGTGCAGTTAATTGCTGGAAACATCACCCTTGTATGAAAAAATTCTTTCACTGCTGCATACACTTCTTCTTTGATCACTGGCCATGCTTTCTTGAAGAATTCTGCATTATACCCATCTATACCAGGAGCTTTATCACTTCCTATCCCCTTCAGAGCCTCATCTATCTCTTGTTCAGTAACTTCAACATTCAAATCTTGTTGTTGTTGTTGTGTTAGAGTTGGACCTTTCCTCATTACCATCATGTCCACAGCTGGAAGTATATGTGCACTGGTTCCCATTAAGCCTTTATAGAAGGATACAATCTCCTCCTTTATAGCTGCATGTTCTGTTATAGTACTCCCTGATAATGTCTGTAGTTCAGTAATCTGTTTTCTCTGTTGCCTCTCTTTTATAACTGCAGAAAAAAACTTATTATTAGCATCCCCCAATTTGATCCAGTTTGCTATAGCCTTTTGTTGCAGTATCTTCTCTTCCACCATTGACCATGTTCCTAGCTTTTGCAAGCATTCCTTCTCTTGGACTTGCAACAGGTCATTATAACTATTTTGCATCTGGCTTTGAATGTGATAAATAGTTTGTCTTGCTTGATCTATCTTCTCGGCTACTCCTTTGAACTCAGTTTCATTCAACTGCCTAAACAGCCTTTTCATCCTTTTAAGCTTGAGCCAAATATTTTCCATCTTCCCTGCTACTTTGTTCTTGCTCCATTCTTCCCTTATTATCATTTCAGAATCAAGATGACTTGCCCATAAATTAAAGAATCTGAATGGGCTCTTGGTAAGAATCCTAGGTTGCCTTATACTGATGCACATGGGATTGTGATATGAAATATAAGGTTCCCCATAATCAGTACTCATATGACTATAATTCATCATCCAAATATCATTTCCAATCATCCTATCTATACAACTCCACACCCTATCAACACCCTGCTGCTTGTTAGTCCATGTAAAATAATCCCCTCTCCATGGTAATTCTACAATACCAATATCATGGCATAGCTCAGCAAGGTCTTTTATATCAGCACTTGTCACAGGCACTTTAGAAATTCTATCTTGGACAGTGAGTAAAGCATTGAAGTCTCCCCCTAATAACCATGGTCCTTTATGTGCTAATCTTTTTATGTGCTCCCATAGAGTTCTTCTTTGATCTGCAGTATTCTGTCCATACAGCACTGTGAGATAACAATACATCCCATTTCGCTTCCCAGTTACTAGACACTGAATGAACTGATCTTGTTTGTCTAATGGTTGTACTGCATATATTTGATCATCCCATATGACCCATACCCTTCCATTCGCAGCATACTCATAATTTGTCATCTTATTCCAACCAGGGACTATTCTACTAATCACCTTCCATGCATTGCCTTCTTTCACCTTTGTTTCAACTAACCCGGCCAACTTGATATGTTTANTCTTCCGATCTCTTTATTTCTTTTTGTTTATACCTCTTATTCAATCCCCTAATATTCCAAACTAGCCAAGTCATTGCTGAATAATGATTCCACCTCCCCAATCAGGTGGTATATTTTTCTCCATTCTCTCCTCTTCTTGTTGAAATATCTGAAAGCCATTTTTTGTAGTTATTGTTGTAGTTCCCAGTGACAATCTGCTATTACTAGCTAAAATTGGCCACTCTTCTCTTTGGTCAGTACTCTGCCCTTCTATTGCTTTCCCTTTATCCCTTGTTACCCCTGGATTTCCAGAGCTTTCATTAACTGTAACCACATTATCATTATCCTGCTTCATTGATTTACTTGTACCCTCATTTTGCTCTGTTTGTTGTTGCTGCCCTTGCCCTTTAACTTGCCACATTGTGGTAATTTTCCCCTGCTTCTTTCTTCCTCTATGTTGTTCTTCTTTATTCACTCTCTTCTCCAACGTACAGTCATGTCCTATCTTCATGCAGTCTGTGCAATGTTGAGGTTTCCATTCATACTCCACCTGCTGTTGAATCATTCTCCCTAATGGATCTTGTAATGTCAATTCTGTTGGAAGCTTTTTTGTCACATTAGCTTCCACCAAAATCCTAGCATATGATATACGTGTCTTCTTAGCAGTACATTCATCAGCAAAGAGTGGTTTCCCAATAGCACTTGCTAGTTTACTTAGTGTTTTGTTACCCCAGTAGCTCGTAGGCAAATTAGGAAAGCTGATCCACCAAGGAATCTCCATCAAAAATTCTGCCTTAATGTCAAAATCTTGAGTCCACTGTTTCAATATCATTGGTCTTCCATTAATAGTGTATGGTCCTCCATAGAGTATGTCTTTCAAATCCCCAAGTGTATCAAACTTTGCTATGTAGTATCCTTCTTCGTGTAAATACAGATCTGGAATACTCACTCTACTCCAAGCATGAGCTATATATCTCTCCATGAATTTGTACCTTGGTGTATCCCCAATTATATAAATAATTAGGGCACATTCCCATTTTTTATTTGGCGACTCAATTTCTTCCTTATCTACTTTTACCACAATATTACCATCAACAATTTCCGGTGGGATATATGATAATACCATACCATTTTCTGAGGATCTGTTGCCAGCAAACAGATTTGCCCATGTTTTCCCCAGCTCCGGTGTTTCTGCATGTACTTTTGTCTCATCCTTTAGCTCTGTTGTTACTGTTCCATTGACATTCAGCTCAGCTGCTACTACTTCCTCCCTATCCTGAGTAATCTCCGTAGTTGTACCTACTGGAGTGCCTTTACACGAAGATGAAGACACATTCATCTCCACTGCACTGAGATCTATCCTTCTTGCCGGTCCCTTAGCATTCCTAGGTGAAGCTAATTTCTGAGAATTAGACGAAATTGGTGTCTGATTGGTGTTGTTACTTGCTGTATGGATCCCTTAGCTAGAGTATCTGCAATTATTGTTGCACTGATGGCTCCGTCGACCGTCACGAGTGGCTCTCGTTTAGGTCGTCCTTGCTTTCTCGCCATGGTTGCTTCTCAGACGGCGTACGTTAGCATAACATGCGCCGAGAGCTTAGAGAGAGAAAGCTGAGATTTTAGTGACTAACTCCTTATGAGTAAAAGTGATGTTACAGCTAAAATTGACTTCATCTTCTTCCTTGCGTCTTTTCTGAAATTTAACTCAAATCTTGCTCCATTCTACTCCAAATCACTTTAAATTTAAGTTTTGAACTCCTTTTGATATTTTCAATCTATTGGAACAACACCCAATCCAAAGAACTAACAAACTCAAAAAGTCCTATTTTTGAAAGCAAAGCTTTGAATGACCTTCAATGGTAGACTTCTACTCTTCAATTTTTTTACATGGCAACCATGTGACATAGGGGGAGAAGCAATAATGGCGACGACCCCTTGAAGCATATGTAAAAGATGTGAAAAGAAGAGACAATGAAAACAATGGTTGTGAGAACACAGATTTAACTCCATAACTTTTAGAAGCAATGGTTGTAAGAACACAGATTTTAAATTTGCAAGAGCTAGTATTTTCAAAATATGTACAATATAGGTTAGGTCGAGTAAAACTTAAAAACATGGGTCATTTCTTATTATGGTGTGAAGTCATGTGTATTTTCTTGTAAAGGCTTATTGCCACGGTAGAAATTCTAATTCCACTGAACCCCGAATGAGTTTTTTTTCTCTTTTTTTCCCTTATTATCTGTAAGCCAAAAACCTCCGCGCTCATTGCAAAACTAATCAATAGCTTAGCGAAGAACACAACAACCTGAAGAACATTCCAGCAAAGGCACACACCCAGGACACTTTGCTTTCGATCTATCAGATGTTTGTCGCTACAACCTAGGCGTGCGACTCTTCCCCGGACTCAGCATGAACGCGGAATGCTTTGTTCACCGGGCTGCCCATTAGTGTGTTCGTTCCGACTTTGCGTGTCAAATGTTCAGGGCTTTGCTCCAATCCGAACACAAGGGAAAGAATCTTACCATTGAGATATTTGGCATAATCAGTTCATCATGAATCTGTCTTAATCTCTCAATTTCCTTCAGTGCCTCTTGATGAGCTGCCAAATCATACCAACAATGAAAATGCATTGATTTAACCAAACTAATGCGGTAAAAACGAATATAAGAAATTCCATAATTTCATAGCAACAACTAAATAGGTTCGTAGTACAAACTTAAGTTACATAAAGAAAATAAAGTACTATCAGTAAGCAATCTACAGAATCAGAACCTCTGTCAATAAACCTGCCTTCTCCTTGGATGCCTAAACAACTCATCTGGGTCTCTATAAGATATATCCAAATCCTACCGAGGGAAAAGATCACCTGATCGTTCTGAAAGTAATTAATGTTACAGTGGAGCGTGCACGTTAGCGGTAAGACCCTCTTCTTCCACGAACACGCCAACTCCTACCTCCTCTTCCACTGCTTCTTCCAGCATCATATATACCTGCAAATGCCTTGTTAACCAGCTGGTGCTGCATACCACCGGCTCCACGACCCTTTTTTGTTGCATTATTGCTCGACACATTTGTAGTAGCAGCTGGTCGCTTCTGACTGTGACCAAAATATTATATAATTAGACATTACTATCTTCATCAATGAGAAATACTACCGACGACTAAAGTCAACAATCCACATACCCTGCAACAGCAGCAGTTGAAGGACCCGATGGCTTCGCGACTTCTTTCCATGATAAATTTACTTTTTGATCTCCAATAAAAGTTGGTGTTTTTGTATGCAATGGCTGTGATATATATGATGTCACACGTATGCATGCTGATTGTAGAGCAAAAAGTGCAAAATCAACAGGCGTTACCTGGGTCATTGCTAATATATTGTTACAAGCCCGAAGCGTAAAGGTAGCATTCTGCTTCTGCGTCTTCTGCAGATCACAGAAAACAGCTAAGTTCACACCAACAGAAGAAAAAAACTGGTTACAAGGGAGGATAGGGCGAGAGAGAGAAGGTTAAACCCACAATTGCATCCTTTTCATCTTCTGTTTTAGCAGCAGCCATTGCTTTGTTTTGATCTGACATTCCTTGGGTTAATTTCTTGATCATAGCCCTAGCCAAATCCTCAACCGTGCTCAACCTGTTTCATCGACATGAAGGACGTCAGCCTGAAAAGATTAAAAGCAAAGACCAGCAACAACTACAATATGACAGAACTCCAGCTTTTCCTTTAACTCCTCTCCTTGGGCTAGTAGGAGCATGCTCCATACTACCCACAGCCTCTTCCTGAGTTCTTGTTAACCCAATAAAGACAGATAAATCCACCCCCACCCCCACCCCCATGCCAATTACTCAGAGGGGGAAGAAAGGAAAGAGAGAAGCCCTCAGTTCTCTCAATTCTGGAAGTGGTGTAAACCCTCTTATTGCATGACTACTTGTGGTGCTCATAGGATATTCACCTGTCATCAGGTTAGCAAAGTAGACTTAAGATGCATGAAAATTACCTTACACACACAATTCACCATATTCAATATTTAAGGGAAAAAGAAAGGGGTGTCTGATATTTCTTGTGTTAAACAAAACGTAATGAGATGCGGAATGACGCTACTCGGCTAGATGAACCAGAATATTGATATTGAAGCCGGCATCCCATTTTTAGTTCAAAATGAATTTTCTTGATCAAAAACATAATCTAATCATTAATTGGCATCATGTCTTCGGAAATAGCAAGCATTGGTTATACAGTTTGATTGTAACATGAACGAACAGAAGAACAAGTAGAAGCACCTCTCAGTAAAGTCCTTATATTGCTCCGAGAAATCCTCCCCCAGTCTATCTGATGGTTGTCCAGTGACAATCTTGTAGCCACAGAGACTGTTTGTGGCGTTTGGAGCCTATAAAATTCCAAATCAAGAAGTATTAAGCAGGTTGGCTCCATGCATCAGGTATATTATCCATGGACGGAAAGGAACTTTCTTACCTTGTGAGCTAAATGGTGAAAGGTATACAACAAACACTCAATACACGTGTAGTTAATTTCTTCAATCTTTCTTCGAACCATGTATTTCTGAGAGAAAACACGTCATTTTCAGCAAGAGATTCAAAGCATTTCAATAGGGGATCCTAGTGACTGGAAACACACAGCAAAACTAGTAAGAGCATACCTAAACTATGTTGTATGCACAAAAGTCAATTAGAAGAGAGAAGATCAATAATATGCTAAAAACAAATGCTGATAGGAAATCCAATGAACTAGACTGAATAACAGCAGTACAGCTTATGACACTAATCAACCACAAAAAACAAGCTACACTAATTTTTGTACTTCATGAATTATGCAATAGACATGGCAAGAGCAAGAATATATTTGTGTGTTCTCCCTGTACTTTCATGTACTAAACCAGAAATAGAAGCATTGATGTTTAAGAGAAAAAGGATAAGCAGCAAGTGATGGGAACACATATAGAATCTCCATATCTACCCAACTCTAAAGTTCCAAATGCAATATTCATGAAACCTTCAAAGTTAAACCTTTAAGAGCTGAACTAATGATGGAAGCAGCTGTCGAGAATCCTGAGTTGTTGCATAAAGTGAGCATTCAGAAAGGTTCTTTAGCAAGTCCAATCTCCGTTCTTCTGGAAGCTGAAAAAAAAATTACTGCCCTTGAAAACTTGAAAATCCTAATCATAAAATATGGACCAGCGAAGAGTGGTAAAAAACCAAAAAAAAAAAAAAAGAAACTCAAACTCGGAGAAGTGTAGTTAAAGTGTTGTTAAAGGCTCGCTAAAAGCATGCCTAAGCCCTGAAGCCGGGTTGTGCGCTCCTCCTCGCTCAGAGTGTAGGCAACTACGCATCAAGGTGCTAAGGCATATGCACCTTCACCAATGGGTTGTCTTTAAGGGCACAACAGCATACATATAGCTTAGTTATAGTTTTTCCACCCTCGTCTAAAGTATGTTCACCTTCACTCATGATTTCTGTATTTAAGGGTACAACATATAGTAGTCTTAGAGTAGGCATGTTGCGCTGTATTTCATATCAATAAATACAAGTTACATAGATATTATGCACAAAAGTGTTTGAATTATCAACAAAAATTTAAAAATCCAAACTACTGGGAAAAAATCAGGAACACGAATCACATTTATCTAACTCAATAAAAGATCTCTTCTCTAAAAATGCCTTATTGTTTGGACATTCGTTAGGGATAGATTTGGTTTTCATGTCATCCTTTCTAGGTTGATTCGATTACTATCATGATAAGAGATGATACTTGCTAATATATGTTGTTACATCCTTTAACACAATAGTAATTGCTAATATCAGTTAGCCACATATTCCTAGTTTGATACTTTTTCTGCATTACATGCAATATCTATCCGCTAGATGGATTTATCGACACTATAAGAAACTACTATGACAACACTTTAAAAAATATTTTATTAACATTTTCTTAAAAAAGAATAGCTTAAATAGCTAATATTTTCAACATTACCAACCTTAAATATTAAAATTTTAGCAATATGAAAATAATCGCGAGCTCCTAAGTATGATTTCAGTACAATTTTCCTTAAAGTTTTCGTATATTGGTATTTTAAAGTGGAAGACTTATAATATCACCCGGACTATTGTTGTTCCGGGTGAAATAAAATTCCTAAAATTATGAATTCTTGTGAAAATTAACTTACTCAACTTATATAATTTATCTTATTGTGATTACATTCCCACATATTAGGATTTCCTATATAGTTTAAATAAAAAAGATTTAATAATCAAAATTTTAGTTGATAACGTCCTAAATATTAGAAAAGTACTAACTAAACAATGATATTGCCAATATGAAAGTTATTTTAAAATATTAAAAATGTAGATCAATTTTGCGTTGAAGTTTTGTGATTTTATAAGTCTTAGAGTGATTGAAGAAGCCAAAATTAATAGAAAAGTGAAATAATATTCTCTTATATATTTAGTAGTTTTTACTTTTAGTCTCACATAACTTACCACATAATTAGAATTTTTGATAAGGTAAGTTGTTGTAAATACTAAATGAAGTAAAATTATTCTTAAAAAATTACTCATTGATGTTAAAAAATTATTTTGTTCATCATAATACAATTAGAGTGTCATTAGGATGTCACTTAATTGCTGAAATACTTCAAAGAACGTCTAAAACTTTTGTACTGACATTCCAAATAATTGACTTTTTAAAAATTTAGTTAAGGTATAATTTTAATCAAATTTAAAGTCCTAAATTTTAGGTATTTAGTTTAAATAAGGAAAGATTTAATAACCAATTTCGACAAATTTTCGAGTCTTAAATATTAGGAAATACTTAAATGGCTATTTTATCTAGTGTGAACTCTATTTTTAAAAGGTAAAAAAGGCGATCTAACATTTCACTAAGGCCTTAGTGCTTTTAATATAGTATATATATATATATATATATATATATATAAAGCCTTTTCTATTCTTTTGTCCAAAAAATCATTGTTGTGTTTATAGTTACTTTTTCTTGCATTACATTTCTATTTCTATTTTTTCTTCATTGGCGCTTTTCTTGGCTAAAGCCCACACTTTACTTGCGCTTTGCATTTAAAGCTCTAAAAGACCTTAGCACTTTTTAGCACTTCTCGCTTTTGACTACTCTGAATCTCTGATTCTGTAATCAGGATTGTTATATTTAACATGTTACGAGCACCATTTCTTTGAGATATAATTGTGTGCTGACTCTATCGGATCAAGTCAGAACCAGGGTTATTAAAAGCTATCACTTTGTTAAAGCAATGAATCGATGCGAAGTTAAGGGTCACCGTTTCAGGGATGATGCATTGCGCTTGAGAAAAAATGCAAGTTTCAAATGACGCACAAAGTTATTCTAATGAGAAACAGTCGATTCTTCAAATCTCAACTTTGAGTTGGATTAACATCAGCATTATTGTAGTTGAGATTAGTCAATTTAATTGAAATTGACTACTATAGTACTAAATTCATATATGTATTATAATTCTATTTTCCGTAAACAGTGCGCTTCACTTAAAAGAAGTGTGCGCTTCACCTCTCGCTTTTCGCTTTGAATTTCATGGACCTCGTTGCTTCTTTGCGCTTTTGAAAGCACGGGTCATAAACTAAGCCTTCTGCTAGTATAGTATGGAATTCAAAATTTCCTCCAATAAATAATATCATAGATGGTAGTACGCACCAAAATCAAAGAATTAATTAGTTTGGAGTGCCAAAACCTAATTTAATCAAGATTCAAGTGTATTATCTTATTGAGATAAAAAAAATCCGACAATAGTTGGACACTTGCTAAGAAATTGCATCAAATCATAAGATTCTGCCAAACCACAATAACAAATTATGCATGCAATGGCTACTTACAATATATACTGATTCCGGCCTAGTCACTTTAGTCCAAAAAGAAAATTAATTCTTTTGTAGTCCTAATTCCGTTGTGTTTTTCTTTTCTTTTCTCCGACAATTGTGATTCTGGAACTTCCCAGCAGTAGTGGTACTTCATTAATTTCTAGAATACTATATTTCATCACTGTAACCGGGTCAAGCTATTGCATTCGTCTAAGCTTAAAAGTAGCTTCATAGGGACACTTATGGATATTTCTATGCTTTTTGGGAAAGAAACAGATGTTTCCAACCTGAAGATACCAGCAACAAATCTCCTCAGTCAATTAGTCCAATCGATATAGGTTTTTTGTAAAAGTTGCTGTTTCAAATTGTATGATGCAGTTGGCCTAATCAAAAAATTGTATAATGAAGTTCTAAACATAAATAAGATGCCTCAGGAATCAACGACTACATGATTCCTGGAATTGCTTTTAGCCTAGTTCCCTTCTCTTCAAAAATCATAACTGCTCATCAATCCAAAAATAGACCACCTGGTACTTGTCTCTTCTATTTCGACACTTCAACACTGCTTAATTCTCATCCAAAACAAGCCCTCCTTAGCAGCAAACAAAATAATTTGCTACATTAATCTATAAGGTGTCCAAAATCCAACCTAGTAACTGTTGATAAGCGACCCTTCACCGTATACAGAAGAGTAATGGATCTTACGCATTCTAGCCATAATAACAAGAAACAAATGTTTCTACTGCATCAATGCATAAAATCAGGAAAAAACATAAAATAAAGCTTGCAGCAGAAACATTTGCATTAGTACTATAAAGTAATTGCACGTTACCTAACTGTAAGTGCGTAAAATGCACTCACTGCATGAAGAAACTAATATAGGAATCCATAAGGGTTACCTTGTCAAAAACAGGCACGATTTGCTTGTTCAGATAGTTGAGAAACTTAATGGCCGATGCACCCCTCTAAAGACAAATGAATGTGAAGTCAATGACTACTGCAAAAGTACTATTCATTGGACAACTTAAGGGAAAATAGTACACACCTTGAAAAAGGGAAGTGCCATTGAAAGGCATAATATGTACCTCTCGATATGATCAGCATCCGACACCTACCAGAAAGGTAAACAAGCACTTAGATGCATATTCCAAAGGCAGCAGGTATCAGTTTTTCTGAGTTTTGTTAAAAGGGAAGGTTGCAGTGAATGCAAAGGAAACTGTGGACATGAACTCCATCAGATACCTATGGCAGTAAGATATCAAAAGCTAACCTTAGGTCTTCATAAAACCACTGAAATACCATCTGTAAATACTATGTAAAGTAGTACCAAGACTATACCCCTGTACTGGAGATCTTCAAAGAAATGGTACGTTACTGACCTTTCTGATCAAATAGTTTCCCAGAAAGCACTTTGGATTAGAATTAACAAAGACTCTTTGTTTAACCATACAAATCTCTTTTACTTCTACCTTCTAAAAGGCCTGGAAACATATTCAGTGCAAAATTCAAGTAGACTCTCTCAGATCCTAGAAGCATTGACCTTTAATGACTGGGTGTACCCTCAAGATTCTGAAGAGGAAATGCACAAAAGCAAGCAGAACTCAGAATTGAGCACAAATTGAGTAAAATCCTGAGCCTTAACGGGGAACAGTAGTGCAGCTATAAAAAATTTATCAGTAAAAATGCAGTTATAAGATTGCATTAGTCGAAGCAGTGATCACCCAAGCATAGCCATGGTAATGAAGTGTTGCTTAACACCAATAACATAACAACCATACAAAACTAGGGTTGCCTCCCAACAAAGGAAAGGAACTAAATCACTTACATTAAATTGAGCATCAAGATCAGCCTGACCTTCAATAATCTCAACAAGCTCCTGAATACGCTCTGCAGGAGCATCACGGCCAAATAAGCTCAAGCTTTTCAAAAAGTCCATGAACATTTTAAATTCAGCAGCCGTTACATCTTGCAAATTCTACAAAACATCAATTTTTTGGATTGGTTAACAAGAGCAAGGACAGTTAAAACCCACAGATACCGATAATAGAATCATCTGACGTGGATTGGTATCTTTAGCCCTAAATTTTAAAAAGAAAATTGATATAAAAGAAACTGGGAATTTGAAAGAGAACTTCTTTGAGAAAATTCAACATGATACCAATCCATACCTGCTTTACCAAAGTAGTTATATGCTTCTGCACCTCCTCTGGCTTTAGGAGCTCCATCTTAAGAGGGAACACCTGCAAAATAATGGGATTCATTATAGCAATGATCAGCCACAAAATTATGGAGTTCATCAATAGACACTTCTGAAAAGATATATGCAGTTAGTCCAAGTCAAATGAACTGGAAATCCATGATCATGTGGACAACAAAGACATTTTGCAGTCACCGTGTTAAATTCATCCCTTCTTAGTCAGTTGACTGCCAGCATAAATCAAATGGGAAGAGTTCATTTTCCTTTTCCTTGAGAAAATACTTCAAGAGTAGAGAAACACCTTATCTCTAAGAAATAACAGAGTTTTTTCACGAATGCTTTCCCAAGTGCTAAGATCCTCAGCACTCCGATCCTCGATGCTTCCAATATGCTTAAACAGAGCAGTTAAAGAGGCTGCAATAGACAAGTGCAACCAAATCGTAAGCAGGATAACCAATGTGAATTGCATGATTTCAAACACCTGACCTAGAGAATAAATGCAAACATAATATCTATAAAGCATCCATTAATATAGTGTGAGTACCAGAAAACCAATAATATAACCATTTTCCATAGCATGGTAGCTTAGTATCAAGGCAGCACAGTAACTATCATCCTTGTGCAAGGAAAGATGTGAAAAAAGCCGATGTCAAAAGGAAACCAGGAAAAAGGGTACTGCACCCAAATTGCAGGTGTATTAAATTACCAAACAGAATCACCAAGATGGAATTGTACTCACCTCATTCTTTGGTATGGTATATACAACACCAACAAACCCAGTATGATCCCAACAGGTGGGGTCTGGGGAGGGTAGTCTGTACGCAGACCTTACCCCTACCTAATGCAGGTAGAGAGGCTGTTTCCAATAGACCCTTGGCTCAGGAAGGGCAAGAAGAAGAAAAGGAAAGCAAGAAAGGAAGAAAGAAGGATATGGTATATGAGAGACTAAAATAGTGAAATCCTTTGCATGTAAAACAGTTCAAGAATATATTAATCTTAACATTAAGAACTCAACTAAGCTACTGAGAATGCATAACATCCTCCCACTCCCCCACACCACACACACAAAGAAAGTCACTCAGGAGAAAAGGCAGCCAACCCATCAAGTCTGCCCTCACAGCACGAGCCACCTAGATTGCCAGCGCTAACACCGAGATAATAAAAAGGCCTTTATGATGAAACCACACTTCATTTCACAGTAATGTCATCCACCAGCAGTACCACACTACCTAAGCAACTCAATAATTCCCTAAAAAGGAAAAGACAACAATGACCGCGCCTGTTATATTAATCAAATCCGTGAACCCTCACAGATGCCAATGCCCCACAGTTTTTTTCCCAAATCATAAAGAACTCCCTGGTGGTTTTCGTTTGGTGATTATTCACTACACAGGTACGTCTATTTATTACTCCCTCCGTTTCAAATTAGATGAGGTACTTTCCTTTATAGTCTGTTCACATTTCTAAATTTGGAAATAATTCAACTTTAAACTCTTCATTTTACCAATTTTACACTTAATGAGAAGCTTTTATAACCACACAAATGTCATGGCCCCACAAAGCTTTTACCCCTTAAGCTTTTAAGACAAAAAGTTTCAAAAGTCTTCTTCTTTTTTATTAAACTCTGTGACGAGTCAAACTATGTCATCTAAATTGAAACGGAGGGAGTATTCTATTTATTTTTTATGTATTCAGTAAACATAATTTGTTTCACCATCTTGAGTTAGAAGGAGCATGTTAAAAGTTAAGTGAACTATTGAGAATATTGTACAAAATATACTTAATAAATATAATATCCAAGAGGAAATTCATTTTACTCGTGAAAAAAGAAAAACTTTATTAGCCAAGAGAATAATTAAGAATTCTGTGTAGAGTACTCTTAATAATTATGCCATAATTACTTATCAAAATAATTATGCTATGACTAAGAATTCCAAGAGTTAGATTTTTCTTATTCATACAACACGAAATTCCTATTTAAGAGTCCATCTCTACATTACATGATTTTATGTGAATCCACTAGAGCGGTCAATATGGGCCGGGCCGGGCTAGCCCAACCCACGTAGGCTTTAGCAATTGATGGGCTGGGCTAGGCTAGGCTGGGCTAGCCCACCATTTTGATGGGCCTTATAATTGGCCAACCCACCCCAGCCCTATGTGGGCCACGGGCCCCCATGGCCCGGCCCATCATTTTTTTAAATATAATTTTATATTTTTTCTTTAAGTTCTGACCTAAAAAAGATAATTATTTAAAAATTAAAAAATATCTTATTGGAAAAATTTCGCAAAACTTAATAACTTTTTATATAGTTCCAATGCATCACAATAAACACTACAAAAGTAAAAGACAAAACTATATTTTATTCACTAAAAGTCAAAACTCAAAACAAACTATTCAAGAGAACGTCCATGACGCTTATGAGATATCCAACACATCATCTTCATCAAACACATTTGAATCCACTTTATGACAAGGTTGTCTTAACATCTTCACTTTCATCATCATTTACAATTCATATGCAATATTAATTAGTTAATAATTTAGAATAATTAAATTTTAAAAACTAATAATATTCAAATTCACATAAAAAAATATTTCCAGTTTGAGTTTGGGAAAAGCTGTGCAGCCAATTTCGAGTAGTAATAAGTATTTAGACATTTTCATAATAAATGCAACTTCTGTACTTTGTAAAACACGCCACCAATGCTAAATGTTGATTCTGATGCTACAATGCTAATAGGAATAGTAAGTACATCATGCGCCATCATTGTATTTTCTAGAATGGTCCTTCCAATACATGACAACATTCATGATCCATCTCTTGAAATTTCTCAAGATCAAGTTTTGGTTCCTCTAAGTAAAGATCCAATTCTGACTTTCCATCTCTAGAGGCGGTATACTTTTTATTTTTTATTTATTTTAAATAAATATTTTATTAGGCCCACGGGCCGGGCCGGGAGGGCCTCAATGAAGCCTCAGGGGCCACAGGCTTACTCGGGCGGGCTTAAAAACCTCGTTTTTAGATGGGCTCCAAAAATTCTAGCCGAATCCTGCTAAATCACGTGTTGGGCCGGGCTGGCCCAACAGGCCAAACCCATATTGACGGCTCTAGAATCCACAAACACAAAATATTACAGCCATTTCAGAGCATCGGAAGTAGCTTTTATATTTTTTGTGTATATGACTTATGAAATATGTTTTATAAAGGCCCGAATATAGTAAAATGGTCAAAGAGAAATTCATACTGTTGACGCCAACTATGTAGTCTTGTTTAGGATTGATGCGTAGAGGTGATTGATTGATTGATTTCATAAGTCAAGACAGTAATAAATACGATTGTAAATATTTTAGGTTTCATAGTAGTGAAACAAGCAACAGTCAGTGACATTCCTGAGATTATTAGACTTGTCTACACATTCAGCACTTCCTATTTTTTCAAAGACCAGTTTCAGTCACACAGTTCAGGCATCTTCTGTCCTCTAGGGATATCTTGTGTCAATTTGAAGAAAACCCTATGACCAAGGAGTTTGCCATTCAGACAACCATGCTGGGCCTGATCTGATAGGATTAGATGTTATTGTAGCTTCTCATTTTTTTTCCCGTGTAAAGTAGTAAGATTAGAAGTAATTGTAGGTCTAGTAGACATTGTAATGACTACTAATGTTAATTCGTTAACAACAACATCAACATTGAGAATTCCATCTAATAAAAAAGTAAGGATAGTTGTGATGAATAATCACACTAGACACTAGAAACCTTTATAATGTTACTAATAAGTAATAACAGATGTAAGTGGAAGATAAATTATTGACCATGAAACTCTTGGACTTCTATAGTTTCGGGGAGAGGTGATTTAATGGCTAAACTTCAGGAGCAGAAACTCACTCTTCACATCCTGACGTAACAAGGTCATAAGAGCCTTGTGTACAGCATCACGCTCTACATTTTCACCTGACATAATTGGTATAAACTGTATCAATATGAGCAAATGATATGAACCAACCAAGTCCCAAGGCATTGAGCACAAAATTTACCTGCCACGAGGAGCGGGCCAAGAATGTCCAAAATTTTAGACAAATGCTCAGGTGTATCTTTGCAGAAAAGCGGAAGTCCACGGATCGCTTGTACACGGACCTGGTAGTCAATAAAGAAAATACAAAATTTATTAGACAACACACGTAAAAGTCAAACCTAGTTCTAAAATATTCCCAATTCTTCACTAATAAGCTACCAATAACAACTATTTTTTGACAATTTCTACTATATAACAATGAGGACACAACCACATTATTGCCATCACACCATCACAGTTATTTTTCTGGGTAAGCCACAGAACAAAGCTGGCTAAATACATACGCTAGGTATGTCTCTTTATATGTCTGATGGCTACTCGGATGATTTGGAGTTGATCTATAACAGAGTAATTAGTACCTTCTAGTTAGAAAATCAAAGAGTTCCATGTAATAACTTATACTAACTTCTAGTTATAAATGCTTTGGGAGTTACCTTGGGTTACTGAGATGGGTGTTCGTATTATAGATAGGGATGAGTATCTCTGGAAACCACACATATTGGGTGTGTATCATGTTTTATCCACTTACACAATGTGTAGTGGGGTAAGCCATGTTGGTCACATGGTGGTAAATGTCAGTGTCATAATGGTACTCCCAATATAATAAAATGGATTTACAATTATGGTTATGTCCTAAGGAGCCTAAACTGGCTTTTATGAAACTTGGAAAGATGATGAATGTTGAATTATGATTTCAAATTATGTTTTACTATCACTTTATTATAGTTATTGTTCTTGGGCAAGCCACCCAACAAAGCTGGCTAAATATGTACGCCACGTATGTCCCTTAGCAGATCTGACGACTACTCGCATGATTTGGAGTTGATTTTGGAACAGAGTAAATAATATCTTCTAGTTAATAAATGAAAGAGTTCCATCTAATAACTTCTACTTGAGATATGAATAATCGTTTTTAAATTAGTCCAACACCCCCAAAGGGTTTTATACATTTAAAGGGTCTGGGCACCTCAAGGCTATGTCATAGGAGTTTAAATTCTATATTACTTAAGCAATAAGGTCACTTTAAAATGTAATCGCATGTAATTCCATTTAATAGCATTGATTAGTAACCTAAAATAAATGGTAAGCAACATTCTATAAGAGGTTAATGGTAAGTATGGGTTGAATACTAACCCCAAGCTCTTCGTCTTCGCACAAATACCATTGCTGCTCAATAGCTTGCTCCGCTAACTGAGGAAAAAACTTGAAGAACTTCGGAATAAGCTGCGCAGCTAACTGCTTGGCCTTTCCACTGCCATTTGCTGCCGCAATAATGCCCTCATATTCCTGCCTATGCTGTTTTCAATCGAAGCAAACAATTCACAAAAACTAAATAATCAAATAAAGTGTAATGGAAGCTTCCGGAAACCCTAACAGAAAACAAAAAGCAAAAAATAAACACTGAAGTTGAGAAACTACTGGCTTGAGACAGACATGAGCAAGCAATTCACAAAACTAAATAATCAAAATATGTGTAATGGAAGATTCCAGAAACCCTAGCAGAAACAACAAAAAGCGAAAATTAAACTGAAGATAAGAGATTACTGACTTGAGACTTGTCTTTGGCCTCGTTGAGCCGTTCGCCGAACTCGTACAGTTTCTCGATATCGTTGGAATCATCAGTAGCTTCCGCCATTGGAGGTTAAACACAATATGAGATAATATTATAAGAGAAATGTTGCGGAGCGAATGAGAGAGAGAGCGCTAGGGTTTAGGAAAAGTGAACGGAGGTTAAGAGATGAAGAGAGGGAAGAGGGGTTTTTGAAGATGTGGGAGAAGGGTAATAATGTGAGTTATGAGAAAGGATCTTTCACTTGGGTTTGTAGAGACCACTTTGTTTTGATTGTTATTTCCACATATTCTCAAATTTATTTTGAAAAAATCTAATTTGGGTTAACTTTGTGGTTTGAAGATAAAAATGTGTTTGGACATCAATTTTCAAAATATATTTCCCAAATTTATTTTGAAAAAACATGAAACATGACTTATACCCACAAGTTCTAAAAACTATCACAATACCCAACAGTACCATTATCAATAATATTTATTATATTATCGCAAACCATAGTCATGAACATAAATAAATTTGGTACAAAATTATCATTTTTATAATGAACTACATGATACACTATCAGATGACCGAGAAGACGAAGCAACATTATTATAAAATAATAAATGGTGGGCTCTTTTATAAAATATAAAAATTTGGGGCAATTTTTAGAAAATAGAATAGTGATATTTTGGCCTAAATTGAGCTGGTTTTGGGATTTGGGATTTGGGATTTGGGATTTTGCTAAAATGTAGGCAAAATCTATGGGCAAACATGTGTTTCAGATAAAACCCAAATTTATTTTGGCAAAATCTATGGTCAAACGGGTCCTAAATTTTATTATATCCGTCCAAAAGTATCGCTTTATGATACGATCGATTTGGTGTAGTCGTTGTTATTAGGGGTGTCAAAATAATTTTGAAAACCGACCGAACCGAACCTAACCTAACCGAACCGATTATTAGATTTTTTTAATAAAACCGAAGGTTTTAATAAAGATTTATAATCGTACCGAATATTAGGGTAGTTTTTTTATTTTATAAAAAATACCGAAAAAATACCGAACCGTACTGTTAATTTTAAATATATAAATATATTTTATAGGTTAAGTTTAAAATAAAAGACACTAATATTTTTGACTTTGGGCCTTGAATTTTGAGATGGACTTAGATGGAAATAAGTGAAATAACTAGGGAAAATCTCATTTTATACCCATTAATTTCAAACCATTTACCCTTTAATGCCCAGACCAAACTATTTATTACTCCTACCCATGCGCCCCAAACTACTTACCCGCTAATTCACCGTTCCTTGTGAGTATAATAAGATTGGGAACAAACAGAAAAGAGAGACGATCAACACTTGATTCATTGCCGGTCTTAAGCAGAGTCGTTATGGCAAGAGTTTCTATGCTCCTATTCTGATCAGAAATCAAGCTCTCCATATCTATGTTGCAGTTTGTCACAGCCATAGGATGTGTCATATCTATCCTTCGACACACATACAGGGCGTTGTTGCGGCCAAACGCACATGCAAGCGCACGCGGTCGTCAAGTAATAAAGTGACTAAAAGTCGGATGTCGATCCCACGAGGATTTGTGATTAACTATTAACTAAATTAGACTATCCTAATTATCTATACAAGAATTAAAACTAGAAATATGTGATTCTAAACTAATTAAAATAAACAAAAACAAATAATGAACTTTGGACAGAGAAAGAGCAGATTTTTATGATATCAATGTAATGAAAACGATCTAGGGTTATGGGCTATCTAACATTCCTATTGTATTCTTCAATTGAATTGACTAACTAATTTATCTAGTTTATTGGTTGACATGGTTAATATTGCTCATAAGAATATGTCGAGTTCTTACTTGCCTATTCAAGCTAACCTAACGCCTATATGTCTATGGAGTTAGAATCAACAAGAACGCATTTATAATTCCTGTAAATTAACCAAGCAAGGCAATTAGGTATATGTCTATCCTAACCGCGAATCCGTTCCCCGAGGCCCAGGTTCAAGAACTTGCTCTACTCAATCCTATATGCAATCTAGAATTCCCACTTTCGAGTTCAATTCTAAATTCGTAGATAGTATTCAATTGGTGATCAAGCAATCAAATAATTAAGTGCAGGATTGAATAAATAAACCAATATGATAAACTAAGCAATCAAAATCAATATTCGAATAACAATAGTCATGAAAGAACCACAACCCTAGAACGTGAAGTTTAGCTCCACATAGACATGGTAGCAAAACAACAAATCATACAAAGAAACATAAAAAGACTAAGTTTGGAGAAAGAAAAGATGAAACCCGGCCTCCACGGCGGCTCTGTGCTCTTCCTTGGTCAAAAATTGCTCTAAAAAACGTTCTCCTATGTATATATACCAAGTAGGGTTGGGCCCAAACAATTATCCCTTCTCCAATGTGAAAAAGGACACTTTTCCCGGGCTTAACTAGTGCTGCAGCGCATTTGACCGCGCATCTGGGCGCGCTAATTGGCTGACTTTCTGTTTCTGGGCGCGCTAAAACTAGCGCGGCCGCGCATCTAGGCATTTTTTACCCTGTTCCGTTCCGAATTTGGAAAAACGTAAAACATGAAAGTTGTAGCCCTTTGAGTTAGCTTTCCAGCCATATATTGTGGAGCTAAAATGGAGTTCTGAGCAAAAAGTTATGTCTATTTTACTAGATAGTGCACAATCTGCCTACTGGAGTCTTCGTTCGCTCTAACTATCATCCGTTGACCCCCAAACACGATCCCGGCTTAATTCCTTGAACTTTTACTCAAACTTTAAAGCTCCAAATCACTTGAATTCATTCCATAACATCTATATAGCTCGAAATCACTCCTACAAGGCATAAAACATACAATTAGTGCAAAACACTAGCGATTAAAGCTCAAACTCAATTAAAGTGCAGTAAATTAGAGTGTAATAATCGACTAAAATACGTAATTATAGCCTATCATCAGGCGTGAGCTTGTTTGAAGTTTTAGCAATGCAAACAAGTTTTCAACACTAAAATACAGGGCACAATTCAAAAACTAGATCATAGGAAGAACAGATCAATTTTTGAAACTCTATATGAATGAGTTAAAAATGCCAGATCTGATTTTTATAGTGTTTTACTGTTGAAATTCGTTAGTTATTGTTCTTTGATGTGTAGATTGTACCTTTGATGCTGGTTTATGGAGATTTGTTGTACAAAAATTTAAATCCACCATTGAAGGACCTTGAAGCTTGAAACTCATAACTTGATTTGTTTGGGTTATATATCCACAAAAGACAAAATATGTACCCGTATCTACCCATGTTCATTTCTATTACAATTTATACCTATGCGGCACATTTATTTTACCCGCTCTACCCATTCATATCTTTGCCATTGCTTAGCATGAAACTTCATATTGTCAGATTCATATGCACCTTTGTTGTATCTTTTAAATGCACCATATTTCCTAATATGTTTTATATCTTATCATAATAATACTAATTAAAAATAATATAATATAATATTTATTAAATAATACATAAAGTTATAAAAATATATGAACTTGGAGAGCACAAAAATATATTATTATTATTATTATTATTATTATTATGAAGATTTATTATTTGATTTGACGTGGATGCTATAAAATATTGCTTATAGTATCTTCGAGTAAGCTTCCCAGATCTAAATTTTTATGTGTATTTGAATATCCACCATTGTTGGGCTTGAAGCTCAATTTTATTTTTGAAGATTTCTTGTTTGATTCAAAGTGGGTGTGTTAAATATTGCTTATAGTACCTTCCGGAAGTTCATACTGAAATTTGATAGCGTTTGGAGCTGATTCGAGGTGATTGAGATCGATATTTTTAGTTGAAAATCGAAGAAGAACACAGCTACAATATACTGCTACGGTATACAATATGTTGTAGGAGTATATAGCTATAGTGCAACACTATAATATTATAGTTTAAAAACAGTATACCGTTATGGTATACTAATATACTATAGGAGTATATAGTTGTCACGCCTCCTTTTTCTTTACTACACCCCGCGAAGGGTATAATGAAGGAGTTTTTCCAATTAAAGGACAATCGAAACGGGATTCATTTTATTAAGAAGTTCAGAGTCGCCACTTGGGAGATTTATGGTGTCCCAAGTCTCTGGATTGAATCCCGAATCGAGGAAAAGGTTTGACTCTGTTTAACAGTCGCGAACCAGAAATCCGGGTAAGGAATTCTGTTAACCCGAGAGAAGGGGTTAGGCACTCCCGAGTTCCGTGGTTCTAGCACGGTCGCTCAACTGCTATATTTGGCTAAAGTCTGATTTTAATACATGTTATCCTATTACAATTTTAGAATTGTTTAACCGCTTTTAATTAAATAAATGTTAAGAAAGTGAACGCCGTTTAAGAGCGTGTTTTTGGATCACGTCACATGAAATGCACCCGGATCCTTGACACCTCTTATTCAACATTTTGGGATTTGGATTTGGGTCGCATGAAATGCACACCCGTAGTTAAGAAGGTAAAATTATTAAAAAAAAACGCGCCTAAAGTGGCTAGCGTCTTGTTAACTTTGTTGGAGGCCACGAAAATTCGCTAAATGACACGTCCCGAATTGCTAAAATATTTTTAATAAAGCAATTAATGAGGGTCCCGCAATTTATATGTTTGTTCGGCGAGGCTCATCTCGTTTTTATTAAAAGGCCAGTCTCAAAAGAGACTACGGTTATCTATTAAGAGATTATCTCTAAAAAGATTTTAGTCAACGGGTCCAAAGCTTATCTAAACTACATCCACAATTAAAAAGAATAAGAATCTTTAGTGTACTTGCTTTCAAATCTGGACCAATAGAAATAACCAGAATTTTCACTTCGTGAGCGGCTAACCAGCCTTGGGCTTCATGACAGGCCCAAATTGGAAGATTCATTAAAAACAAAATCGGCCCAGGCGTCAGTGACACCGAGAGCCCTAAAACCACTGGACGGGCTGTTAAGCCCAGGATCCTTGGGTCAGCTCAATATCCATGGTTGAGCTTGCACCAATTGGATTCATAGGTTTAAGTAACAACTGAAGGTAATTTCAACTTCAATCAATTCAACAATGTCAATTTAATTCTAATTTGTATTCTGATCAGATCTAAACTAAGGAAGTCCTACAATCAATTAGTGAGCTCAATGATCAAACTAATGTAGCCAAAGTTTGTTGAACAATAGACGCAACACCTATCACACTAGAATTCAGACTAACCTATAGAATTATG